GGGACCACGGTGGCGGGCTTTGCGGTGAGTCCCTGTGATCCCCCCCCAGCCCCTGCGTGGCCCCTGGCCGTGCCGCAGCCCTTGACACCCAGCACTGCCTCTCTGTTGTGCCCAGAGGTGCCCAGGAACCCCTGTCGCATGAGCTGCAGGAACAACGGGCACCTGGACATGAGCAGCTGCCAGTGTGTCTGTCCCCCCGGCTACACGGGCAGGTACTGCCAAGGTGAGAGGGGCACTGAGAGGGGCACCTGCACAACCCTGGCTTCCCTCATCTATGCAAATGCACGTGCATGGCAGGTGCAGTGCATGTGTATATGGGGTGATGCAGCGCATGCGTGGAGAGGGTTGGCGCTGCCAACCCCCACCGCAGCTGAGGCAGTGCCTTGCCCGCAGTGAGGTGCAGCGGGCAGTGCCTCCACGGGAAGTTCAGGAAGGAGGAGTGTTCCTGCCTTTGCGATGTGGGCTATGGCGGCGCCGAGTGCGGCAGTGAGTGGGTAGCAGCAGGGATCTGCGGACAGGGATCCCCAGAGTGGGGCTAAGGGTCCTGCAGTGGACCCAGTTCTGCTGACACAGGGACTTACCTGCACCTCTGCTTGTGTCTCCAGTGAAGATTCGATTCCCTTTCCATGCCTGCGATGTGCAGATAGATGGTAACTGCTTCATGGTGTCCCCCGAGGCCGACACCTACTATGGGGCCAAAATAAAGTGCCAGGTGAGCCCTCAGGATGCTCTGGGCATCCCTTTATAGCTGCAAAATGTCACTTGTGGTTGCAGTCCCCCCCATGCATCCCTCTGCTGCCTGGAGTAGGTCTGGGCCATGGGCCGTGTGTTTAGGGCTGACCCACTCCCTTCCCCGCAGGAAAAAGGGGCAATGCTAGCCCAGATCAGAACCCAGAAGGTCCAGGACATCTTGGCTTTCTACCTCAGCCGCTTGGAGATGGGTAACAGGGTGACAGACACCGATTTTGAGACTGGGAACTTCTGGATCGGTGAGTGACAGTGACGGGCAGGATGCAGGGTGCCCAGGGTGTGGGCGGCTGTGCCACCCCACCTCCTGCTCCCCCAGGTCTCACCTACAAGACGTCCAAGGCTTCCTTCCGCTGGGATGTGGGTGAGCCATCCTCCTTCACCAGCTTCGCTTTCGGGCAGCCGGACAACCAGGGGTAAGTGCCCTTACCATCCATCCAGAGGACACCCGACTTCTGCGTGGTGTCACTGCCATGCCACTGTGCTGGCCAGCTTCACCACCCTCCTGCCGGGGCACAGGTTTGGGAACTGCGTGGAGATGCAAGCATCGGCTGCCTTCAACTGGAACGACCAGCGGTGCAAGACCAGAAACCGGTACATCTGCCAGTTTGGTGAGTGAGCTGCCAGGACCCCTCCTGCACCTTCCCAGGGGTGCTGAGCCCTGACCCTCCTCTGGTCTGCCAGGACCTCTGGGTCCTTTCTGGTACAGGCAGCACTGACTCTCCACATCCTGTCACAGCCCAGGAGCACATCTCCCTCTGGCAGCGTGACCACTGAGCCGGCAGCCCTGGGCACTGGCCAGTGCTGGCTGCTGTGCCGAGCCCAGCCCATGGCTCAGGAGGACCCCATTGCAGTCCCAAACCCAGCCCATGGCTCAGGAGGACTTGCCCATGGCTCCCCCACACAGGGGACAAAGAGCTGAGGGGCCCCATGACACTGGGACCTGGTGAGAAGGGCGCATGCTCCACGTCAGCATCCCCAAGCCAGCATCTTCTGCCTCTCACCTTCCTCTGTCACTGTCAAGATACAACAACCCCCAGGGCAGGGAGATGCCCCCACAACAGGTCAGACAGCATCCTCCCAAATTGGCAGCTGGGCTGCATCCAGACCATGGTCCTGATGTGACAAAGGGCCAAGTGGGGCTTCTGAGGAACACAGACCTCAGCACAGCTTAGAGTGAGGGCAGGACTCAGCTCACAGCCATCGCCCCGACCTGGGTGGGAACCGCCCAGTCTGGCACCATGGGTTCCTCACCATTACCTGGTCCTTCAACACCCAGTTCCTCACCATCACTCAGTCCCTCACCATCTGCCAGGTGGTTAATAAAGACTTCTCTCCCCTGGGAAGAGCCATTTGTCTCCTTTTCCTCCCCCAGACCCACCAGACTCTCCCTCTGCCACAGGCCACATCCTTCCCACTCTGGGTGGCATCTCCACCTCCAACCGTGGAGTGGGTGCTGTGGTTGGAGGAGCTGGAATCTACCTAGCTCCTGGCTGAGCTCATGTCTCCAACACTCTGAGGATGTTCTGGAGAGGTGGCATTAGCCAAAAGCTGCTTCTTCCAGTCCCAGGTCATGACACCCCTGTGCTGGTGGGTGTCGGGTACCTCTGGAGGAGACAGGGACAGTCCCCTGCAGGGCCCCTCCTGCTGCAGACCTGAGATAGAAATTAAATTGTCCCCAGCTACGACATTGGGCACGGGTTGTTTGTGCTATAGCCCCAGCTCTGTGGAGGGAGGGCAGAAGCTGCATCGTTGCTGGCAGGGCTGGGCTCATGGCTCCAGGGTGAGCTGGGCAAAACCAAGGTGGAACCACACCATCAGCCAAGAGGGCAGGGTCCAACAGGAGGGGACTGGAGGCAGGAGATGGAGGACAGAACCTGGAGAGGGTGAGGATGCAGGATGGGGATAAGGATGGGGAATGGAGGATGAGAGACAAGGATGGATAATGAGGGATGGGGGATGGAGGATGGAGAAGTAGAGATGGAGGATGTAGAAGGGGGATGGAGGATGGAGAAGGGGGATGGAGGATGGTCCACCGCATTCGTGCAGCTACATCCCAGGGAAAGGAAGAGCCCAAGCCCGGCGCTGCCGGCGGCAACGCTTT